TTAATTATCGAGAGTAAACAAACTTATAAAAAAAATCAAAATTACTAATATAAGATTTACCAATTTTTTTAAAAAAAAAAACATAAAGCTATGTCAGAAGGATAACAACATTACAATGTTTAGTATTAACTAACATTATGCTATGAAGTGTATATTATTGTTCATACGAGTTGTATTAATTATGCAAGGAGCAACAGAACATTATGTGTGTACCATAGAGTTACCGAATCAATAAATATAGCATTATTTCATGTGTACTTATAAAATATAAAGTTATTTTAAGTTGAGTTAGCTAGTAAATCTTTTTAAAGTAGTAAAGTTCATAGATATATCATGAAGGAAGTTTTTTTATTCCAAAATCTATATACTAACAATCAATGATATGTTATATATGTTTTGTTATATAAAAGTTTGCTACTTGCTTACCAGGCATAAAAATTTGAAGCGGGTGATGATCCACATCTGTAGTAACTATAGTTATACTTGTCATTAGACTACACAATAACAAAAATATATTTTGCATCCGCATAAGATATTTGTGAAGTGTCAAAAATTAAAACTTATGATGCTTGAACATAGCCTCCAAATGGAATGTTATAATTTGTAATACTCAATTATCATATATGAAATTATGAACTTACGTGATCCTTATATCACTTCCCTCCAATATACTTTAAACTCGAACACACAATGATTTATGTCATAAGTATACAATCAAATATAAAATTTGATTACTTACTATTCTTAGAAGAGTAACTTTCTATAGCTAGATAATGCATTTTATTATGAACTTATAACATTGTTTGTTTCAATCTTCAAAAGAAAATATGTTTACAATATGCAAGTGCCTATTAGTACTTGTTGATACTTTTGAATACAATTTCATTTTTGTCTTATGTAAATGGTAAATAGAAGGTTTTTATCTTTACATAATAATACATTAGTTCCTTTTATTGATAATGCAATATTATATGATAATCGATTTCGTTTTGGTAGCAACCACTAACAATACTATGGGTGGTGATTATATATACACTTTTAACATAATTAATACAATCTATTAGTTGTTAATGGTTTATGTGTAACGTATATTTATTTATTTATATGTAACCTAAATTATTTGATTATATAAAAATACGAAGAAATATATTTTCCATAGTTTTTAAAGCGAGGGAAGTAAAAGAAATTTAATCGCCTATGCCTATATAACCATGAACTCCTAACACCGCTTCTTCAACTGTTTCATTATAATTCCCAAAATGGATTCTACTACCCTCATCATTCTCTCTCTCCTTGCAACTCTCACTTTCTCCAGCAACTTCCAAGCCACCGCGGCAGGCCGCCTTTTGTCACCAATCCCTCAACTTACGCCATCAACCGGCTTCCCCGATGCCCTATCATCTCTTCCAACGCCCTCGGTGCCATTGTCGACGTTGCCTCCTACAATTCAATCAATGTCATTGCCTCCTCTATCATTGCCTCCTCTAATTCCATTGCCACCATTTTCTCCTCTAATTCCATCAGTGACTTTGCCTCCTCTTATCCCCTCACTTCCCACATCACCCCCTCCACCGGTCACTACAACTTTCACTCCTCAGGTCACGGGAACCATCTGAAGTTAGCAACCGACACTTACCACATCTATTGCATTAAGATGTAATTTTATCAATTGAAATATGTTTATGAGTAATAAAGAATTGGAATGCCAACTATATTTTTTATGTTTTAAAAACATACAATTTATGTCTACGGTTCTTTTCATATAAGTTACAAACATAATCGATGTTTAATGTATTGAGAGAGAATTGAATGGATATTAATCGACTCTAGTTTATATACTTTAAATCTTCATGCAAAAACATGTAAGTGAGAACTGATATTAATTTGTTCAAACTCAAGTTTGATTAAACATGACATAATTATATGCAACATGGATCACACTTTTTTGAGTGAATTACTTAAATTGTCCTTATTAATTATTATTTTTAATTTATTTATTGTTTATTTATTATTTATAAAATATAATTGTTTATAAAATTAAAAAGAAATATGTATACCCCCACCCCAACCTAACACTCACCTCCATATCCCTCTCTCGGATGTAGAGAAATGTCATTGTCACCTAAGTTGATATTACTTCAGCCGCCAGAGTCATCTACCACCGTTGGCGACTGAGTGACTCATCCACCGAAATCCACCTTGCACCCTTTTATTTTCTAACCCTTCACGACGAGATCGTGTTCATCATGTCTTTAAATCCACCACCTACCTCCGTCTATACTCCTCCCACTGTCAGAATCCACCTTCCCTAGTCCCTCCTCACCGGTGAAAAGCATTCATCAAAACCGTCGGCCACCGCTGCCATCTATGGATATAATCCTGGTTAAACCCTCGTAATATGAGACTCCATATCCTCTATCGTTGCTCCACCTCTTCACCCTAACCCACGATTACATCTGGTTTTATCTCCGTTGACTGTGTCTACTCCTTCACCCTCTCTACTTTTTTTTGTTGGGTTTAAAGGCCAATTGAAGGTCTTCTTCACTTTCCTCTTCATCTGGTATCATCTCCATTAGCCTTCTTCTCTTTTCTTCGTTAGAAATAAAGCCACCACGGTAAAACCAAATGCAATCTCCGATTTAGGGTTTATGTTTTTTTTTCTATATTAGATTTGAGAAAACTTATTTTCGGTTTGTGGATTTGAAAAAAATTGGTTTTGCCCTAATCCTAATTATATTTAGGGTTTGTGTTTTTGACGGATTATTTGCATCAGAGTTAGCGTTTTTAAAATCTGAAATTAGTTTGTTCTAATATCTTTGACTGATGGTAGTTGATGGTAGTGGTGTTTGACGGCAGAGGAGGTGGTGGTGGTGTTGGTCGTTTCTTTTAGTGGTGATGGTTGTCGGTTCATTTAGTGGTGGTGGCACCCGATCTCTATAAAAATCTTCAAATTAACTAAAATAATTAAATAAATAAATAATAGAAATTAAAAAAATGATAAAAGAGTTATAAAGGGCGATGTAGTTTTTTTGTGTTTGTGAGGGATTTAGAACGCATTAAAATCATATACCATAAGGACGATCAGAAAATCATACCATAAGGATGGTAAGAGTGTAAAAAAAAAAAGGTTAGAAACCAAATATGTAATTATAAGCAAAGCATAAGGACGATTTTAATAATTTACTTTACTTTATATAAGAAGACAAGTGAATTACTTCTTCTTGTTAAAGGACAATATTGAGCATATTCAAGCTACAAGATCGTGAAAACAAAAATTGATTATCAAAGGAAGCAAACTTATAAAAAAATCAAAAGTTCTAATGTAAGATTTGTGAAGTTTTTTAGAAAACATAAAGCTACGTGAGATGATAACAACATTACAATGCTTAGTACTAATTATCATTAAGTGTAGATTATTGTTCATAGGAATTGTATTAATTATGTAAGGAATAGCAAAGGTTATGTGTCCCGAGTTAATGAGCTAGTGAGCCAATAAATATAACATTACTTCATGTATAGTTACAAAGTATAAAGTTATTTTAAATTTAGTTAGCTAGTAAAAGCACTTAAAATTAGTAAAGTTCATGGATATATCATGTAGGATGTTTTTTTTTCCAAAATTTGTATACTATCGATCCATGATATATTATATACTAGTCGTGTAACTCATGTATTACATGGATTGATTTAAAAATAAATCAATATATTGGTCAAAATATTTGACAACTTTGAATTTATAAGAAAATAAAAAAATAATAAATTATTATAATTGAAATGTTTTTTATCTTTTAAATTTAAACAAATAATTTAAATAAATAAACAAAATAAACTAATGAGCTTTAACTTGAAAATTTTGAAATTAAAATTTAAGTTTATTAATGAAATTGATATTCATTTATTACTATATTTATTGCAATTATTGTGCTAAAATATTATGTGAAATTTAATAAAATAAAAAAACTAATAAAATGACATGTGGGAAAAAAAATAATTCAAAATTACACTTGGCAAATTAAATGAAAGTATGATATATGGCAAAAAAAAAAAAAAAAAAATCATTATTAGATTAGATGTTTTGTTATATAAAAGTTTCCTACTTAGTAGATTTAAAAAATTAAAGTAGGTAACAAAACCCCATGGATAGTAACTCTACTTGTAATTTGCATCCGCATAAGATATTTAATGAGGCCTCAAAAATTAAAACTTATGATGCTTGAAGATAGTGTACATATGGAGTATTTTGATTCTCATAGATTTAATAACCAAAGATACAACACTTATAAATACATATCGAAAATATAAAGGCCTATACTAACCGAGACTTATACTACAATACGATACATGTGGGCTAGCCTACTATGATACAATATACACTAACATCCCCCATCACGATGAGTAAGACGAACGTTAAAACTGGAACGACATTCGGAAAATAGACGTCGGGAACCTATTCTTGAAGATACATGCATATCGGGCGAGGAAGGAACATGAAGTACTTGAGCCTAACCACATGCAACCTTTGAGGACATGTAAACAATGTTAATTTTGTCACAATATACTGTAGACAATAATGACCTTTGATGGTGGGACAATGGAGCTCTTGAATGAGATTACGAATCCAACAAGTTTCTGCCACTGACGATATTCAACCTCAACGCTAGATCAGGGTGTTAACATGTTGGCGTTTTGATGACCTCGATATAGTTAAATATTAATAGATAATTATACTCAACTACTCTTAATTTCATTTTTGTATTTGTGTTAACTTAAGATTCTAGACCGTCATTTTATCCAATAATAACTTATGTGTTCAATCATTTACATAAAGTTTTATATAAAACGAAAAATGCTGAGCCTTTTAAATTTAATAATTACAGAAGTATGCCATGGTTTAATAAAATTAAAATATTTTGATAGATAATATGACATGACATATCGTGTGGCATTCCATCGTATTTTGACTGGGCATGGCAGATCGGTTAGTCGTTAGTTTAAGAGATGCCTTTTACGTGATGTAGACCAGTAACCTTTGCTTCAAAGGGTTGTACGCCATGCATAAAAGTATACATAACTCCCCAAACAATCAAACACAGGCCACAGGGCCGGTTCATTATATAACAACCCATGAAAAAGGACTCTTTGGTTGCATGCATTTGTACCATTGGTTCAGATGAACCGGAAGACGGCAACACTTGGTGAACCGGTCACTATATAAACCACACTAATTTATCACCATTTAAACCACAACGCATAGCCTCACCTCACGAACCCAACTCCCAATTAACAAATGGCTCACGGTCTAGGCTCCATCATGGTTCTGGCTCTGGCTCTCACTGTGGCATGGGCCGCGGACCATAGTCCCCTTCAAGACTTTTGTGTTGCTGATATAACTGGTCAAGGTACGTTAAATCGGGTGTTTTATACGTGATCGGTTATATTTAAATATAACTAAATTTTAACTTATTTCAAATAGATAGTAAGATTGTCTTATGTAATTTGAAGCAGTACAAGTAAACGGATTCGCTTGCAAAAACCCTAATGGTGTTCAAGCGAATGACTTCTACTTCAGTGGTATGCACATGATGGGCAACACTTCAAATCGGTTGGGGTCAAGTGTGACCCCAGCATTTGTGTTCCAAATCCCAGGACTTAACACACTTGGGATTTCACTTGCACGACTCGACTTTGCACCATGGGGGCTCATCCCACCTCACACACATCCTCGTGCTACCGAAATCTTAACCGTGTTAGAAGGTCAGATTGAAGTTGGGTTTGTGACATCAAACCCTGATAACCGTCATATTTCGAAAGTACTAAATAAGGGTGATGTTTTCGTATTCCCAGTGAATCTTGTACATTACCAAAGGAATGTTGGGAACATGAATGCAGTTGCGATGGTAGCTTTGAGTAGCCAAAACCCTGGAGTGGTTCCTATAGCAAATGTGGTTTTCGGTTCAAATCCAGATATTTCGACTGATGTTCTTGCAAAGGCCTTCCAAGTTAGTGATGATATTATTAGCAACATGCAAGTTAAGTTTTAGTTCCGGTTTGATTTCACGTTGTAGTTAAGTATTGTTGGGAAGTAAACTATATGTCCCTCTTGTCTCTATTGCAAAAAAGTAATTCCTCCCTGCTTAAAAGGGAAGTTGAGAAAATTGGTGCACACCACACCAATATACTTTATGTTATGCTAGATACACATGATATCAATATACTTTAAGTCGATTCTTATATTGAATCATGATTGTTTTACACAAAATAGTAATTATTTAGTTTTTACTTTTTTGTTCAATTTAGGTACAAATTTACCCGGAAACGTGTTAAACGACAAAATCATTACAAACGAGTTGACTATTAAAATGATGATAAGGTACATTGGTACAAGAATTATAATAGAAAAGCTATATAGAATAAAATAAGTTGAACCAATCATGTAGGTTTGCTAAATATTCCACTCAACACCTCCCAAACAAAAAGACAGTTCATTGACAGCCAAGAAAAAGAGAAGGTATTATTGCTTTTTTTTTTGTTCATAATAAATAAATGCATCATATTCTCCTTTACAAAATACAATGTTTCTGTTTTATGACCACCAACCCTACAAATGAATTATGTCCCCACCGTTTGTTTTCAAAGAATATTTTCCCCATTTCCCCCTCTATACTACATATCCCATATGTATATATCTACCCTCCATCCCAAAACCCCCCAAAAAAAAATAATTTAAAAAAAAAAAAAAAAATCACCATTCACCAACAAACTGTACGCGGTATTTTTTGTGGGCCCTACCTGTCACCGGTTTGTGAAACCCGGGTTTTTATCGGTTTTAGCTTCAATCCCATGCTTTCGGGGGAGAGTAATTCCGGGGCAATGCATGAAGGACTTAAAGGGCTTCTCGGGCTGCCCGTGAACTGGCTTGGTCTGTAAAGCCCATACCCCATTAGAAAATATTCCATGGGTATTAACATTGCATGTGGTTGCTCTTCTGTCACCATTGATCCACAAACCTGTACCTGAAAAAGTCAAATTCAAAGTCAAAATTAAATAACCAGTTGTTTAATTATAGTGCAAAACAAAAGCAATGAATTAACATGTTACTTGTTTACCTCAACTAACGCGCTATATCGTCTGTCCAGTTTTGCTGTCATGTGGAGGGCTTCTGAATGGAAGGGTGAGCTGTCACCGACAAATATAAGCGTTCTGCATTTTAGCTTCTTTAAACCTTCCGTGATGTCGGGTCTCCTACTCATTTCAAAAACATAACAAAAAGTCAAAATCTTGGCGTTGACCAACAAATGTCGTGCTCATCAACCATTTTACATACACAACCGCAACCTCTTTTTGCTTTTTTTTTTTATATATCTACCTATCAATTGCTTGAAGATACCGCCACACGTTCGTACTTTGTCTTTCGTCCAATAACTGCATAATATTTAATTATATCAGTCACAGTCACAATCACAGTACATCTTGTTCTGTGTGCCTTTTTTATAAGAGAAAAGAGTTGCGACTTTTGTCCTGTTGACATCAGTCACAGTACAACTTGTTTTGTCATGTGTAATAAATGCAGATATTTAAAACTAACCTTTCTGCATGCTTGAACTATATCTGATTCTGGGATTTCGGGATTACCACGAACTTCCTGATTTAATTCAAAGATATCTCGTTAATTTTTATCTATAAAAAAAGTTATTTCATATAAAAAAGATTTAACGATAAGAGCTAAGAAGTTGGAATGTACCTTGCTGAAGTATCTTTGAAGCAAACATTCTTTCAATAATCCACACATACCGTAGTAATACAGCAAATTCGACATCAACTATACATTCAAAGTAATGATATGTTAATCTTCTAATTTGGTAAATAAATGATTATGTAACGCAAAATGAATGAATTTAAAACTCAAAATAACAAACCTTGTTATAAATCCATTCTGTCCAAGATGGTGCTTTGCAAAGAGGAGAAACAAGAATCAAACCTGTAACCCTATCTCTGTATTTTATCTGCAATATATAAAACCATATTTGTTTTTTCAATATACTTTTTTTTTTTAATTTATAGCATTGTAATTTGAATCAAGATGACTCACTGCAAATAGTGTAAGGATGTATGCGCCAGCTGTCGCCCCCATACACATCACTGCACCAAGCCTTAAACAACCAGAAAAAAATATATATATTCGATAGAATCACGAATTAAAATAAATAAATAAATAAATAAAAAGTGCCAAGATCAATGGTGGAAAATTTACCGAAAATAATTGAGGACCTCAAGAATCTGATCACAAAGATCCTCCACTGAGAGTATGGGATCATCTGAACAGATGGCTGCTGCTCCTAACTGCAACAACTCTTGTACAAATCCCACAAGAGAATTTTCACATTAATAATATAATTCGGAAAATTAAAATGTAAATATAAAGAAATTAAATATGAGTTGGCACGTTCACAGACCTCGTGTCCAGGTGGACTGATGTGATAAATGCAGAAATTATGGAGGAGCAATGAAGCTGCTTCAGGACAGAAGAATAATCCTTGGAAACACAACATATCTGTAGTGACATGTCATTTGTTGCACCATGTTAGGGCTATTTTCAATGATAAAGATGAGAAGGGTATTTACGTCTTTTTGCATAGACGAGAGATTAAGAGTGGGGTAATCAAAAAGTTGCAATTTTTGTCCTATTGACATCAGTACCAGTCCAAATATCCAAATACAGTATGGTCTGTTCTACATAGTACAACCTGTTCTGTTCAGTCTTGTCATGAGATAGAAGGGCATTTATGTCTTTTTGCATAGACAAGAGATTGAAATTATTCTTGCTTACGATTTAGAGCTAAATCGGGATAAGTAATCAATGGTGGCTTTTCTTGATCTCCATACACGATCACAGACACGGACCCATGCCCAGTTCGAATGATATGCTCCTGAATATAAAATTTTAAAAGAATATTAAAATCCAAGAAGTGTAAAAGCGTTGAAAACTATTGAAAATTGGATTTTGTTTATTCGAAAAAGAAAGATGACAACTAAATACATGATGCATCAAGGCATAATTCTTGATCATTGTTGTGTTGTATTCCATGTGAATTCGGCTTATAATATTATAAGGAATCTAATATAAAAACAAAGAAGAGTGGCATGTTTTGATTGGACTCTCGTTTAGTTTAGGGTCTCCAAATGTCAATTGAAGTTTGTAAATAAAGATGGGATTCATGATGTTTAAATTTGACATTGACTTTGATATTGACGGATAAGCTAACAAGAAACAGATTGTAACTTCTAACCCTAACAAAATAATTAAAAAGATGGGACTTTCATGTTAAGATAATGACATTTCATCATAAATGCTTTTGAAGATAGCAAAATTTTACCATTAAAAGAAGAATCTTGGATTAAAATTTAAAACTTAAGCCAAGTTAATCAATAAGAAAGTAATTCAACGATAAAGTTACTAAGTAAAGTAATGTAACCTTTTTAAATTCGTTTTCTGGGGTTTGTGTAAATTCAACAAGAACAACCCTAATAAAGATATAGATTCAGCTTTACGAATCTGGTTTTTTTGGATGTATATAAATGAAGGGAAATATTTAATGTAATTAAAACCAGAACCCATTACACCACCATCTTACTAATTTTTTTTTTGAGATTTCTTCTTGGTTTTATATCAAGAATTGTTGATCACGTACATAAATCAAGAACTGCTTTGCTTTGAATATAGATACTCATGAATTTGGTGTTTCAACATTGTCGATGACAATAAAAGTCAAACAGATCTACAATTGCAAAAGTCACAAATTTACAGCTTAAATTGTATAGTCAACAAAGAGGGTCAAAACAGAAAACCTAAAAATCAAGAAAAGGGTGTTCTAAATTGGGAATGAAGATGAGTCATCCCCAAAAGCGTATCAGACACATCCACTAAATCTATGTTAAAAGAAAAGTAAACAAATAAGCTCAAAGATAATCAAAAATTAGTTAAACCCATTCAGGCATTTCAACAAACACCTTACATTCAGTACACAAAGTCAAACCAAATATTCCCAGAACTCAAATGGGTGTGAAGGAATGAGTTCATATTGAGATGGGTATTCATGGAGTCAATCATATTACACAAATCTCGAATTAAAAAACTCAGATTAAACACAAACCTTTCCACCAAGATATATAGTTTCCATATCAACAGAGACGGAATCACTGGAATCCGCCATAGACATCTTCTTCTTCCTCTTTCTCTCTCTCTTTCTCCCCCCTCTCTTTTGGGGTATTACTTTCTCTCTCTAAAAACTCTTCTGTACCTCTCTTATCATTTATAAGCTGTAAGCTTCGGTGGCTTATATACGAAGCAATTCTTTCTTCCCTTTATTTTTCGGTATATAATTTGTTTGTTCTCTCTCTTCTCTCTCTCTCTCTCTCTCTCTCTCTCTCTCTCTCTACATCTGTCTGTGATAAATATTAAAAGCCAAGAAAAAAAATGTTAAATATAAATATAAATCATGAGCTGCGGTTAGCCTCCACCGACGGTATTCTCTCTTGCTCACATGGGGACGCGGAGGTTGATAGCGATTTCTCTCCGTCACAACGGACGTTAACTCGACGTTTGGTTACATTTAACCATGGTTACCGACATATTGGCCTCTTGAACCTTCAACGCGAAAAACGACATCGTGCAGTTATTGTTTCTTATTTTCCTATACATATAATAATTTTTATTTTCAGGTTGTTTTGAAATTAATAGTATACACTTAGATTGCCCACGACGTCGTGCAGTTATTGTTTGTCTAATTTTGGCTCTACACATTCTTTTTCTTACTCAAGATAATAATATATTTTTGATTGTCTACAACAAATAATAATTTATTTTGTATTTATAGAGTGTGTCGGAATTTTATTGAATACACATCAAATATCGCAAAGCTTATTCAGTATATATCAAAAAGTTCAAACGTCTGATAATGATAAACATAAAGATTTTGATAATTTTAATAGATGTACATCAAAAAAGTTCAAATCAATCTCAATCGACTTAAATCAGGATCATGCCAAATAAAACGAATAGTCCGATATCATCTATGATTCTATGGGAGGTAAATGTTTTTGAATGAGACATTTGTACTTTTTAAAATTAATCATGGTTATACAAGATCTATATAATGATGTGCTTTATGGTGTACTATGGTGTGAGGTTTGACTATGCCGTTTTGAAAAACTTTCATGTCGACTTTGTACATGCCAAGATGGGTCAATGCGTGT